CCCTGGGAATGGAGGAGTTTCCATCCCATAAATCCTTGGTTGATTTCCAGGAATGTGAAGGCTCAGGAGATGCCACAATCCCCAAAAAAACCCCAGGGAATGGGGGATTTTTCCATCCCATAATTCTTTGGGTGTTCCATGGGGTCTGAAACCTCAGGAGGTGCTGGGATGTCCGAAAAATTCCAGGGAATTGGGGGGTTCCATCCCAGAATTCTTTGGTTGGGTTTCTGGGAATGTGGAAGGTGCAGGAGGTGCTGGGAGAGCCCAAAAATTCCGGGGAATTGGGGGGGTTCCATCCCAGAAATCCTTGGGGTGTTCCATGGGGTTTGAAACTTCAGGAGATGCCACAATCCCAAAAAAACCACAGGGAACGGAGATTTTTCCAGGCTCCCAAATCCTTGGATATTCCCGGGGATTTGCAACCTCAGAAGGTGCCACAATCCCAAAAATCCCAGGAAATGGGGGGATTTTCCAATCCCATAATTCCTTGGACGTTCCATGGGGTTTGAAACTTCAGGAGATGCCACAATCCCAAAAAATCCCCTGGGAATGGGGGATTTTTCCAATCCCATGAGTCTTTGGATATTCCCAGGGATTTGAAACGTCAGGAGGTGCTGGGATATCCCAGAAATTCCAGGGAATGGGGGATTTTCCATCCCATAAATCTTTGCTTGATTTCCAGGGATTTTAAACCTTAGGAGGTGCTGGGATATCCCAAAAATTCCAGGGAATGGGGGATTTTTCCATCCCAGAAATCCTTGGGGTGTTCCATGGGGTTTGAAACTTCAGGAGGTGCCAAGATATCATAAAAAATTCCAAATGAATCTTTGCTTGATTTCCAGGGATTTGAAACCTCAGGAGGTGCTGGGAGAGCCCGAAATTCCAGGGAATGGGGGATTTTCCATCCCAGAAATCTTTGGGTGTTCCATGGGGTCTGAAACTTCAGGAGATGCTACAATCCCAAAAAAAACCCCAGGGAATGGGGATTTTTCCATCCCAGAAATCCTTGGGTATTCCCGGGAATGGGGAAGGTGCAGGAGGTGCTGGGAGAGCTGGAAAAATTTGGGAGGTTGGGGGGTTTCATCCCATAAATCCTTGGATGTTCCCAGGGATTTTAAACCTCAGGAGGTGCTGGGATATCCCAAAAATTCCGGGGAATGGGAGATTTTTCCATCCCATAATTCTTGGAGTGTTCCATGGGGTTTGAAACTTCAGGAGATGCTGAGATATCATAAAAAAAATCCAGAAAATGGGGGGGTTCCATCCCATAAATCCTTGGATATTCCCAGGAATTTGAAATGTCAGGAGGTGCCGGGATATCCCGAAAATCCCAGGGAATGGGGGCTTTTTCCAATCCCACAAATCCTCAAATATTCCCATGGATTTGGAGTCACAGGAAGTGCCACGATCCCAAAAATCCCAGGGAATGGGGATTTTTCCAATCCCACAAATCCTTGGATATTCCMWGGGRTTTGAAGTCACAGGAGGTGCCACAATCCCAAAAAAACAACAGGGAATGGGGAATTTTTCCCATCCCACAAATCCTTCGATATTCCATGGGGTTTGAAGCCACAGGAAGTGCCACGATCCCAAAAATCCCAAGGAACGGGGTTTTCCCCCTCCTCCGGATCCCAGAGTTCGGCCATTCCCGGGGTTTTTTCCAGGCGATTTTCCGGGTTTTTCCAGGCGATTTTCCTGGATGATCTCGGAGAGAACCTGAAGCCGGCGCGGGATCTGGGAATGGCCACGATCCTGGTCCGCGATCCCGACTCAGCGCTCCGCCAGCTCCAGGAGCTCTCCGGTGTCCAGGTACGGAATTCCCGCCTGGAATTCCCAATTTCCCATCCGTTCCCGGCCTTTGCAGCGATTCCGACGGAATTCGTCCCTTCACGCGGGGAAAAAACGGGAATTACGAGCTCAAAACGAGCTGGAATTCCGCGATTCCGTGAGGATTCACGGAGAGTTGGGAGGGGTTGGGATTTCCTATGGAATTCCGGGAATTCTGGATGATTCCGTGCTCCTCATCCCGCAGCTCCTGGGCGTGGAGGAGCCACTGCCGGAGCCATGTGATCCCTCCCAGGTCACGCACGGATACGTCACCATCCGGGTACGGAATTCCGGGAATCAGGGGTTGGAAGCTGCAGGAGGTGGCAAAA